TATTTCTAGTTTTCTATTTCTTTTTTTTTTTTTTTTTTTTTTTTTTTTTTTTTTTTTTTTTTTTTTTGGAGTCTGATCTTTACTTTTCACAAAAATTTAAGCTGTTTGGTTTTGTGACTGTTGTTGCCTTCTGCAGAAATGAAGCCGTTGTCATTTCTGGAAGGAAGCTGGCCCAGCAGATCAAGCGGGAAGTGTGGCAGGAGGTGGAAGAATGGGTGGCTTTGGGCAACAAGCGGCCGCACCTGAGTGTGGTTCTGGTGGGCGAGAATCCTGCAAGTCACTCCTACGTCCTCAACAAAACCCGGGCTGCTGCAGAAGTGGGTATGTGTCACTCGCAGACCCTGGCTGCCGTCAAATTGTGGCTTATCTGATGCAAACTCCATTGGCACTCATGAGTCTTTCTTCTGCTTAGAAGACTCAAGCAGAGGAGGCTGATGGGATTGAACTGTATCCAAAATGTGGTCATAAAGAAATTAGGCCTATCTGCTGGGGAGGCTTATAGACTAGGATGGAAGGAATATGGTTGGTGTTCTCCGTGTCTTCTGGAATATAAGCTAAATTCTGTCTTTAGTCTTAACATTAGACAAGGGACCTTGAACACATTTTATATTTGTTTTCCTTGACAGACATGAGAGTCTGGCTGAGATGTTTGAGCATTTGGTTGAGGAGGCCTCAGTGATGTGACCTAGAACACAGTCCTAGGTTTGAAGGAAATGACTGACTTCTGGGAAATAGCTTTTGGCTTCTCTACCAACTGGGTCCACAGCCAATTGAATCATGCAGTGGGGAGCAACTGGGTGACTCAGTTAGTTAAGTGGCCGACTCTTGATTTCAGCTCAGGTCATGGTCTCAGGGTCCTGGGATTGAGCCCCACATCAGGCTCCGCACTCAGCAGGGAGTCTGCTTGAGGATTTTCTCTCTCTCTCCCTCTGCCCCTCCCCCTGCTCGCATGCTCTCTCTCTTTAAAATAAATAAAAATAAATCTTAAAAAAAAATTACGCAGTGGTTAGAGTTTGGAATGCAAAAGCTGAGGGTCTGGGTGATGGGAGGTTCGTGTTCGAGGTCTCGCTCTACCACAGACTCTGTGTGACGGTAGACCTCAGGTGGGTGGGCTTGGCTCTGCCTCTTCCTGCTCCCCTGTGGGTCGGTGGTATGAGACCTGGGTGCCCTTCCTTCTGAAAGGCTGTGAAAACCACTGGGGTGGCTGGGCCATTGACTGGGCCATGAGTCCTTGGTATCACAGCATTGAGGCCTCCTGCCCTTTTCTTTGAAAAATCTTTAGAAACTCTAGAAAATGGCAAGCTATGGCTTTTTAAGACACTGGGAGGAAGCACAGTGCAGTGGAAAGAACATGGACTCCAGAACTGGAAGGATTGCCTTCATCACTAGATGGCTTGTGTTTCAATTTTGCTGAGCCTCTGCCTCCTTTTCTGTAAATTGAAGCTCATGAGGATAGTGTAGAATAATGTAGATAATTGTTGAGCCAGCGTTCTCTAGAGTGTATATTTGTGAAGTTAATTTTTTAGGTGCCTTGGGAACTGACTGGGGCTTTTTAGCTACCAGGGTTGGGTGTGATAAAGAACCTCTATGTTAGAATACCATGGCAGGCAACATAGCGTTGCTCATTAAATGCCTCGATATTTTTTTTTAACCTTGGAATTTTCTTATAGGAATCAACAGTGAGACAATTGTGAAACCAGCTTCAATTTCAGAGGAAGAACTGTTGAATTTAATCAATAAACTAAATAATGATGATAATGTAGATGGCCTCCTTGTTCAGCTGCCTCTTCCAGGTGAGTTTTGGACTCTATCACTTAGAATGATTTCTGAGGAGTAGAGGATTCTTAGCTACTTTATACACCTGGCCCCTCGTGGATCTGACTTAAAGGGGAGGTAAACTCGAGAGAGTGAATATTTTACTAAGTATGCACCGACCTACTCAGAATACCAATTACTCCTTGACTCGGAATTGAGATCTCGATACAAAATGGCAGTGGAGGGAAGCAGCTGTACAAGAGGATACTGCCTTTGATGCTGGCATTTGGCTTTGCTTGGTGTGTGTTCCTTCTGTGCAGACCAAGAAGTCAATCATGGAGGCCTGTCGTGGAAGGGGAACGGGTTTGCGCGATAAACCAGCTAAGCTGGAGTCAGGCGGTGCCAACTAGGTGACAGTGACCTCAGGCCGCTGCTCTGATCTCTCTTTCAGAGCACATCGACGAGCGAAAGATCTGCAACGCTGTTTCCCCAGACAAGGATGTTGATGGCTTTCATGTCATTAACGTAGGGCGAATGTGTCTGGACCAGTACTCCATGTTACCGGCTACCCCGTGGGGTGTCTGGGAAATAATTAAGCGAACTGGTAGGTATATCCCATAGTCATACAACTATGTATGTGTTAGGATCATGAAACCAGTACTCGCCAGTGGTAACAGTGCCTACAGTTGCAGAGTGGACACTTGGGCCCCACGTCCTCCAGTCCTGCCCCCAGAGCCTGCCTCTCCCTGTGGTTGCCTCTATTGACTTTGTTGCGACTTAATCCAGAAGCCTCCGCAAAGGAAACATAAGGTTTCATTGGGTTGATAGTACACACTCATATAGTATTTTGTAGCTTCCAGGGTGCTTTCTCTCATGTTCTTTTAGTCTTCAGGATGTGTAGCAAGTGATGGGCCCCCTTGACTGTTGAGGCAACAAGCTTAGTAACTCCCTTCCTTATCACAGTTAGATTCATGTCCTAGGCCCTCTGTCTGCCTTCTTTGGTGCTCCTTCTAGCATAGTCTGGTACTCCTTTTCATGTAAATATATATATTTCTTCATAGGCATTCCAACCCTAGGGAAGAATGTGGTTGTGGCTGGGAGGTCAAAAAATGTTGGAATGCCCATTGCCATGCTGCTCCACACAGATGGGGCGCACGAACGTCCTGGAGGTAAGGAAACGGCTTTCAGAGGAGTGTTCCCTGCTCCCTTATGTGCGAACCTCTGCAGGGTGTCCTGTGTTTGTTAAACTTTGTATTTGTATTTGTTGTAATTTTGTTAGCAGATATTTGGGGAGTAATCTTTGTAGGAGAAGCTGAACTCCTCCTGTCACCTGAGACAATTTATATTCATTTATTAGGGAACTAGTACAGAAATGGATATGCCTCAGAAATATATTTGAGTTTTGAATGTAAGCATGGTTGTAGGCAATTAGACATTTTCAGTTATGGCTTTGATAGTTTGAACTAAGAAACAGTCATAGTATCCCATTCTGTGTCACTTGATAGAAAAAAAAATTTAAACCTTGAATAATTCTAGTGATATTTTGCTTAGGAAAGGTAAGATTCTTGAAAGGCTGCCAAATAGGATAAGGAATAAATTTAATTTTAAATGATTCCAAAGGGTGGAGCTAGGATGAGGGGATAAAAGTTAGAAGAAACTGGGTATTCACCCAAAGAATACAAACATAATGACCCAAAGAGGCACCTGCACCCCAATGTCCACAGTAGCCAAACTCTGGAAAGAGCCCAAATGTCCACTGACAAATGAATGGATAAAGAAGAGGTGGTATATATATACAATGGAATATTACGCAGCCATCAAAAAAGAGATCTTACCATTTGCAACCATGTGGATGGAACTAGAAGGTATTATACTAAGTGAAATAAGTCAGTCAGAGAAAGACAATTATCTTAAGAGTTCACTCATGTGGAATTTAAGAAACAAAACAGGATCTTAGGGAAAGGGAGGGAAAAATAAAATATGAAATCAGAGAGGGAAACAAACCATAAGAGACTCTTAACTACAGGAAACAAACGGAGGGTTCCTGGAAGGGAGGTGGGTGGGGGGATGGGGTGACTGGGTGATGGGCATTAAGGAGGGCACGTGATGGAATGAGCACTGGGTGTTATATGTAAGTGATGAATCACTGAACTCTACTTCTGAAACTAATAATATACTCTATGTTAATTAATTGAATTTAGATTAAAAAAATAAAAGAAACTAGGTATTAATTGCTCAAAAGTAACTGGTACTTAGCTGTCCAGAAAATATGGTACACGAATTAAGTCAATTACTGCTTCAGAGTTGGTGAATTTCTAAAATGGGTTGCCTAGTCGAGACCTAATCCAATCTCAGCTTTGATTCAGAAATCAAGACGTGTATTTTTTAATTCCTAGGTGACGCCACTGTGACAATATCTCATCGATACACCCCCAAAGAGCAACTGAAGAAGCACACGGTTCTTGCAGACATTGTGGTCTCTGCTGCAGGTAGGAACCCCAGGGAGGGGAGGGAAGGGCCTCACCTCAGAAGGGTGAAGACAGACCTCTTATCTTAGAATTTGCCTGCCTCTGTGCCACCCCATTCACCATTCTCCTAGCCGTGATATTGTATGCGGCCCATAGAGATGAGGCAAGAACGGTGCGTGCGGCCTTGGTTTCTGGCCTTCCAATCTTGACTTGATGGGTGAATGTTGCTTCAAAAACCTCTGAATATGTCTGTTTACTGTATGGAGTTTCAGTGGTTTCTTGGCTAATGGTTTTTACAGGTTTTCATCAAACAAGCTAATTAGTTCTTCCAGGTCTCTTAAAATTGAAATCAGATAAGACTCTGACAAGTAGAATCTTCCTTTCAGGACTAGTGATCATTCCTCTCATTCCTCTCTCCGTTTGCAGGCATTCCAAATCTGATCACAGCAGATATGATCAAGGAGGGAGCTGCAGTCATCGATGTGGGAATAAATAGAGTTCAAGATCCCATCACTGCTAAACCCAAGTTAGTTGGAGATGTGGACTTTGAAGGTAAATGGTATAATTTTCTTAAAATATAAAATCAGTAAATACTACCTTTAATGGACATTTAGGACAGATCATTTACTTTTAACTTACGTTACTCTGGGGGCACCTGGCTGGCTCAGTCCGTGGAGCATGTGACTCTTGATCTCAGGGTTGTGTGTTGGGGGTAGAAATTACTTTAAAAAAAAAAAAGCAAAAATAAAACCATCTTATGTTACTCTGGTAATTCAAAATGCATTCCACATGAATTAAGAGAAACTTAAATTATAGTCATTCTAGAACCATTTTAATTGTTTATATCATAAAATTATGGGGACCGGGTATAAACTTTTCAGGGAGGTGTTTGTTCTTTCCTTAGGGTTACTTCATAATTAAAACGACTTCATCACTTTTAACATGTCTAAAAATTTAATGAATTGACTTTCCGAAACCATTGAGTCTCCTAGAAGGTGTTACAGATTTATCATTTTCACATTGAGAGGAGAGATCACAGACCTGGAATGTTAAAAATGGTCCAGGAAAGAGCCACGTTCCTGGATTTTGAAATATACTAGTAGATTTCTCCTTTCAGTTCTTAAGTTATCATGTTTATCTCAATTTTGGGCTGGTAAACCTATTTCTAGTTTTCTATTTCTTTTTTTTTTTTTT